ATATATATATATATATATATATATATATATATATATATATATATGTATATATATAAACTACATAGACTTAAGCTAGATGAGGGCGTTTTAAGTGGATTTAGCTTAGCCTAGTTGTAGTACTCGAATCATGTTTATCATACCATTGGCCTTACAAAATTTGAAGCTACATTAAAGTTAAGTTTAAAGACTATGAGACAGCAGCGCGGGGGGCGGGGGGGCGGTAATGCCCAAGATGTTGAGCTGAGAGTGGATGGATGGGGGAGGAGGTGGGGGGAGTGGGGGGAGTGGGGATGTGGTCTGGTTGAAGTCTTAGCTAGTCCTAGCTAATGTGAATCACATTCACAATAAACTTCAACTACAACTCCAACACCAACTCCAACACCAACAACAACTGGTTAGACCAGCGCCAATTTAGACGGGCGAATACGGCGGCGGTGTTATGGAGTAGGTGGGCGATAGCAACGACAGAGATGTGGCAGAGCTATCACTGCTGCTGCTGCTGCTGCTGCTGCTCCTGCTACTCCTTCTGCTGCTGCTGCCAGCGACAGGAGCAACATCAGCCCTCGCTCGCACTGTGCACTATTGCTGGGCATCCTTGGCCACATCGTTGACAGCGGGCAGATTCACCTCCTTCATGGACTCCACTTTGGCGACGATCTTGAGCGCCGGCCCCAGCTTCATGCCCATCGCACTCACCAAATGGCTCTCCTTGAGCAGCAGCAGCGCCTGGCCATCGATCTCCTGCTGCACAAAGTCATCCACGTAGTCCTGGCAGCCGGGCAGCTTGCGTATAAATTCGCTAACCTCATCCACGCTCCAGCTCGAGATCGGCGCAATGGCGGCGGCAATGTTGTTGTTCATGCTGTTGCTGCTGCTGGGCGTGGCAGCCGCCGTTGCTGGCAGCGCTGTGACAGCGGCTGCGGCAATTGCCACCGTCGTTGCCGTCGCCGTCGCTGGCAGCTCGGCTATGATCATGCCCGGCTCGGGGCTCATCGCATCCGTTTGCATCTTCTCCTCGGCCAGCGATTCGTCCAGTTTGTCGGCCAGCGCCATGGCGTCGGCGCCAACCATGCCGATGCCGCTGCCATTGCTGCAGCTGCCGCTGTTGTTGTTGTTGCTGCTCGCGTTGCTGTTGCTGCTGGTGTTGTTGTTGTTGTTGCTCGTTTTGGCCAGACGCGCACAGCCCGGCGAGCAATAGCGCTTGCGTTTCAGCTTGCTGCGATGCTCCGGCTTGCCGCACTGCTCACACGCAACCATATCGGCGGGCAGGCCAGCCAATGGGCCGCCCACAGCAACAGCACCAACGCCACCAGCAGCAGCTGTTGCCTGTGCAGCGCTCGTTGTGGTTGTCGTTGTTGCAGCCGCTGTTGCCGCTGCTGCTGCACTCGACTTGAGATCCGTTTCCTGCAGCGCTGCTTTTTTCTCTAAAAAAAGGAAAGGCAAAAAATTACAAATTGTTCTTCTTCTGTTTTTCTTGTTGCACTTACTGGGCGGCTCGTCCTTGTCATCCTTGTCCGCATAGCGTTGCCGGGTGACCGGAAACGGCTCGTTCGCCTCCTGTATAATGAAGCCATCGATGACATGCGTCAAGACATTTGGCTTGATCATTGCCTTGGGCAAATCTTTGCCATTGCTGTTGCTGCTGCTGTTGTTGCTGTTGCTGTTGCTCGTCGTTGTTGTTGTCGATGTGGTTGTTGTGCTGCTGCCGCTGCTCGCACGCAATCCGCTGCTGGCAATGCCATTGGTAGACGCCGTACTGCTCACATTATTGCTGCTGTTGCTGCTCTTCTCCTCTTTGCTGCTGCTGCTGCTGCTGGGCAACACTGCATTGCTTTGCTTGACAACGGCAGCTGTTGCTGTTAGCTTGGTGGTCTCGCTGGCATCGCCATTGTGCAGCGCCTCGGCTGTTGTGGTTGTTGTCGTTGTCGCCGTGGAGCTGCTCGCCTCGACGCTGGCTTTGTGCGCTTCCGCTGCTGTCAGCGACGATTCGATGGGCACCAATGTTGCCGTTGGCTGCTGCTGCTGCTGTTGCTGCTGCTGCTGCTGCTGTTGCTTGGGCGTCGTCTCCTGACTGCTGTTCATGCTTACGCTCTTGGTGGGCGTGGCTGGCAGTGATGTGATGCTGTTGCTATTGCTGAGCGTCACCAGCGCCGTGCTGACCGTCGGTGTTGCTGTTGTCGCTGGCAGACCAACTGTTGCATTCATCATGGATGTCATGGCCAGTATGGGATTCTGTGTGGGTGAGCTAGCGGTTAATGTGGTGCTCGTTAGCTGCTGTTGCTGCTGCTGCTGCTGCTGTTGCACCTGTTGCTGTTGCTGCTGCTGTTGCGCCTGTTGTTGCGCCTGCTGCTGTGCCTGCTGCTGCGCCTGCTGCTGTGCCTGCTGCTGCGCCTGCTGCTGCTGCTGGTGGTGCTGAGTAGCCGCTGCTAGGCTAGCCGTAATGAGTTGCTGCTGCTGCTGTTGGTGCTGTTGCTGCAATTGCTGCGCCTGCTGCTGCAGGCTGGCGACCGTGCTGCTGGTTACCAGCGGCCCAGCGCCCTGGTTGCTGATGGTGACGACGCTGCTGCTCGGCATTGAGTTGCTCGTCTTGGCAGTGGTTTGAAAGACAGTGCCCGCCGAGGCGGACAATGCCGCCTGCAAGGCGCTCGAGGTGGCAATGCCCGCGGGAGTTGTCGTTGAGCTGACAGAGAACGGCACGCTGGTTAGCTGCAGCTGTTGTTGCTGTGCTTGCTGCTGCTGCTGCTGTTGCTGCTGTTGTTGTTGCTGCTGCTGCTGCTGTTGGTGTTGCTGCTGCTGCTGCTGCGTGGGCTGCGACTGTTGCACCACAATTTGCTGTATGATATTTTGTTGATGCTCGCGCTGCTGTTGCTGCTGCGCCTGTTGCTGCTGCTGCACCTGCTGCAATTGATGCTGCAGCAGTTGATTGTGCAACTGTTGCTGCTGCTGCTGTTGCTGCTGTGCCTGCTGCTGCTGCGCCTGCTGCGAGGCAATAAACGTATTTGGCGCCACCTGCAAAATTTGCTGCGCTGTGGCATTTGTCAACGTCTGTTGCTGTTGCGTTTGCTGCGTCTGCTGTTGCTGCTGCTGTTGTTGCTGCTGCTGCTGCTGCTGTTGTTGCTGCTGCTGCTGGGCTTGCTGCTGCTGTTGCTGTTGCAGCTGCAGCAGTTGGTGCTGCAACATCTGCTGCTGCAACAGCTGCTGGTTCTTCATGATCTGCAACTGTTGCTGCTGCTGTTGCTGCTTATCAACGCCGCTTGCCTGCAACGTCTGCCCGTTCTGCAGTGTTATGGGCGTGCCCGTGCTCATGACCACCATCCTAAGGAGAGACAAATAGACAGATTAGCAATTGCTCTCTATATCTATGCATATCTATGCTGCACCACTTGCACCACCTGTGCACCACTTACTTGTTGCCCGCCGTCGTCACCACCTGATGCAGATTGGCAGCGGCCGCTGCTGCTGCTGCCGCCGCCGCCTGCTGTTGCTGTTGCTGCTGGACGGCCAAGTGCTGGGTGAGCGCATTGCTGTTCACCTGCCCGGCCTGCGCCTTGTTGCCGCCGGCACCCACCTGGCCGTTCTCCGTCTTCAGGGTGGGCAGAGCGGGCCGCACCGGCTGCTGCTTGTTGCGCATCTTCGCCTTGAGCAAACTCTGATTCTGCGCCGTCTGCGTGGACACCGAGCTGGCCGGTCGCACCTGTGCCCCATTGTGCGGCAAGATGGGCGCGCCTGTCCGCTGCAGCTGTGCCGTCAACTGCTGCTGCTGCAACACCGCCTGCTGCTGCGTGGCCAGTTGCTGTTGCGCCGCCTGCTGCTGCTGCTGTTGCTGCTGTTGCTGTTGCTGCTGCTGCTGTTGCTGTTGCTGCTGGGCGTTTGCCTGTTGCTGCTGCTGCGTCTGTTGCTTGGGCGCCAGCGCGTCTAGCTGAGCTCGCGCCTTATTCGGCGTCTGCGTCACATTGCACTGAATTATCTCTGCAGGAGCGGGAAGGAGCAAAGGAGAGAGAGAGAGAGAATGTTAGATTAGTTTCTAGTTAGCTAACGATGAGGACATTCCTTCCTATAGCTTGATATTCGCTCTCAACTTGTTCGACACATTATATACTCTCGATAGAACTAGTTCCGAATTCCCGCTCAACAAGTTCATTCGTTCACATACGCGATCTATGCATCATCCGTGCCCACAGTTCACTTGTGTAACTCCATGAAGTACCATCAATCAATCACAGATTGGAACTAGTTCCAGCTCGCAACTAGTTCATTAGTTAACGTATTTTCTATATATATCTTACGTCAATGGCTCACATCTACTAATCAATGGAGTATAATTGTTCAACCACAGATTGGAACTAGTTCCGAAATTCTACTGAACTAGTTCATTCGCTTGCATACTCTCAATTTACACATATTCCGTGCATAGCTCCTACTTCTGCCATTCGATGGAGTATAACTCATCATATCATAGAGTGGAACTAGTTCCAGTTCGCGACTAGTTCATTAGCTGAAATATATTCTCTACAATTTCCATGTCTTTGGCTCACTTCTACTAATCAATAGAATAAAGTTCATCAACCACCGATTGGAACTAGTTCCGAAGTCCCACTGAACTAGTTCATTCGGTTGCATACTCTCAATTTACACATATTCCGTGCATAACTCCTACTTCTGCTTTTTGATGGAGTACAACTAATCAATCATAGAGTGGAACTAGTTTCAGTTCACTACTAGTTCATTAGCTGAAATATATTCTATACAATTTCCATGTGTCTGGCTCACTTCTACTAATCACTGCAATAAAATTTATCAACAACCGATTGGAACTAGTTCCGAAATTCTACTGAACTAGTTCATTCGCTTGCATACTCTCAATTTACACATATTCCGTGCATAGCTCCTACTTCTGCCATTCGATGGAGTATAACTCATCATATCATAGAGTGGAACTAGTTCCAGTTCGCGACTAGTTCATTAGCTGAAATATATTCTCTACAATTTCCATGTCTTTGGCTCACTTCTACTAATCAATAGAATAAAGTTCATCAACCACCGATTGGAACTAGTTCCGAAGTCCCACTGAACTAGCTCATTCGCTTGCATACTCTCAATTTACACATATTCTGTGCATAGCCCCTACTTCTGCTATTTGATGGAGTACAACTAATCATAGAGTGGAACTAGTTCCAGTTCTCTACTAGTTCATTAGCTGAAATATATTTTATACAATTTCCATGTCTTTGGCTCACTTCTACAACTCAATGGAGTACGTTTAGTCAACTTTAGACTGGAACTAGTTCCAAATGTTCATTTGCGGTACTTACGATTCTGTTGGGTCTGGAGCGCCTGATGCGTCGCCGGCTGCTGGATGAACATGCTCGACGTATGATCCGGCTGACCGCGCAATATAATCGGATTCGCACCGAAATTGGGCCAGAACCACGGGCCGAGCTGCATCTGCTGCCCGGTGGCCGCGTTCTGCAGCGGACTGATGAGCTGCGCCGCCTGGGCAGCCGTCACACCTGGCAGGGTGGACTGCGACACCTGGACACATTGCTGTGTGGTGGTCTGCTGCTGCTGTTGCTGCTGCGTCTGGGCATTGCCAGCGCCACCGCTGGCGGCCTGAACCGTGTTCGTTGTGGTGGTCACCTTCTGCACCACCTTCTGCTGCAGCTTGGCCTGGCCATCGGTGGTGAGGCCCACCTTCGAGGCGGTGACGGCCAGAGCGGCCTGCTGGGCGGCAGCGGCCGCAGTCAGCTGTTGCTGCTGCTGTTGCGTCAATTGCTGCTGCTGCTGTTGTTGCTGCTGCTGCTGTTGCTGCTGCTGTTGTTGCTGCTGTTGCTGCTGCTGCTGCTGTTGCTGTTGCTGCTGTGCCGCCGCCGCCTGCATCGAGTGCAGCAGACTCTGCTGCTGCGGCGAAATCACATTCACCGGCGATATGAGCAGCGTCTGCGGCGACTGGCTCGAGGGTATCGCATAGGTGCCGCCGGCGAAGCTCGCCTGTCCGCCAATCATCTGCTTGGCGTTCTGCGTGGTTGTCGTTATCATCTGCGGCCCGCTGCCCTGGAAGTGCTTGCTGGCGATCACCTGGATCGGCTGCTGGCCGAGCGTTGCCGGCAATAGATTGCCGGAGACGATCATCTGCGGGTAGATGAAGCCCGTCGAGGGCTGCATCAGCTGCACGGTGCGGCCGTTGGCCCAATCGCCGGGCACTCCGCCGGTGGCAGCAGCCAGCTGCATGGGCGACATTGTGCTGATTGCTGCCGAGTGTTGTTGCTGCTGTTGTTGTTGCTGTTGCTGCTGTTGCTGTTGCTGCTGCTGTTGTTGCTGAACAACTTGTTGTTGTTGTGCTGCCGCTGCTGCTGCTGCCGCCGCTGCCTGTTGCGCCGGACTGCCGGCAGCAGCAGCAGCAGCAGCGGCCGCCGCAGCAATTGATGCCGCTGCAGCCGCTGCACTGCCATCGCCGGCCGCCGTCAACTGTTGCAGCTGCAACTGTTGCAGCTGTGTCGTCTGACTGGCGTCCAATAGACTTGTTGCATGCTTCAGTTCGTTGCTATTGCCGCTAGTGTTGCCGCTGTTGCCGCTATTGTTGTTGTTGCCGCCGCCGCCATTGTTGCTGTTGCCGGCACCAACAACATTGTTGCTATTGCCGCTAGCATTGTGTGTGGGAAACTCCTGCTTAACCTGTATGGCCGTATACGGATAGAATTGCTGAAATTGCTCTGCCGAAATTTGCAGTGGCACCGCCGCAGCGGATGCCACCTGTTGGGCGGGGCTCTGTGATTTCTCCAGCGTGCCGCCAACAACTGTTGCTGTTGCTGTTGCTGCTGCTGCTGCTGCTGCTGTCGCTGCTGATGTTGCTGCTGCTGCTGCCGCTGCTGCTGCTGCTACACGCGATGTGGGCGTGCTGGAACGTGAACGCGAACGCGAAACACTGCGTGAGCGAGCGTTGTTGTTGTTGTTGTTGTTGTTGTTGCTGTTGCTGTTGGGTGTTGTTGCTGCTGTGGGTGTTGTTGCTGCTGTCGGTGTTGTTGCTGTGCGTCGCGGCGTTTGCGCTGTATTTGAGGCAATTGATGTGGGCGTGCTGCTTTTGATGTGATTATTGTTGCTCGATTGTGTATTGTTGTTGTTATTGTTGTTATTAGTGTTGTTATTGTTGTTGTTATTGTTGGTGGTGCAACTGTTGTTGTTGTTATTATTATTATTATTGTTGTTGTTGTTGCCAATGCCTGGATGCGGCGGACTAGCGAAATCGTATTTCTCGTCAAATGTTATTCCAGCCTTTTGAGCCAAAGTCTCCAAACACTTTAACGGTCGCTCAATATGTTGCTGCTGTTGCTGTTGTTGCTGCTGCTGCTGCTGCTGTTGCTTATGTTGCTGCTGTAACTGTTGTAGCTGTTGCGTTGCTGTTTGCAACTTGTCGCTGTTGCCGTTGTTGCTACTGCTGCTTCTTATATTCGAATTGTCCTTTAGTGGTAGCGCAGTTGTTGTTGTTGTTGATGTTGTGGTCGTTGTTGTTGCTGCTGTTGCTGTTGATGCTGCGGCCGTTGTTAGAATTGTTGCTGCTGCCGATGTGTTTGTTGTTGTTGCTGTTGTTTCGCTTTCAGTGTCCGCTCTGCATTAACCAGAATGAGAAAGAGAGAAAGAGGGAGAGATGGCATAAAAATTAGTTCAAACTAATTTGTATCATATGCAATAAACACACACACTCAGCTAGGCTTAAGCATGCACACAATCACATATACATATGTATATTTATACACACACACACACTTGCAACGTTTTCGGCGACCGCGCTTGGCATGCAACATTTTCGCACAACAATGTCAAACAAATAAATATGAAAAACAGCGCCGCTAAAAAGGCGAGCTTAAAAGCAATGCAAATTGCACTCAAACTGCAAACAGGTTGGCAGCACCCGCCATTTACATGCAAGCAGCAGACAAAAATAAATCAAATAAAATCAAATAACAAAAAGCAATACGAAAACAACAGCAAAAGCCAAAACCAAAGCGCGGGTAATAGATGCTCGCTTACGCGAGTCCTCTCCCACTCTCTCGCTCTGTCTCAATCACACACAAAAAGCTCGGCGTAGACAGAGCGAGCATTAAAGGCAAAGATCATTCATATAAATAAACCAATTAATATGAAAGATATTACTTGATTCATGAATAGCAAACGATTAAATTTATTGTTAAATAATTGCCACTAACACTTATAATTATACTTATCTACAAAATAGTTTGGTTATTAAATATTAATATATTAAATATGATTTTAATTATGTATTTACAATTGGTTTTAATTATGAATTATATATTATTGTTATACTATATAACGTTTTATACTAGTTTCCAATAAACTTCAGCTTTGATCTGCTCTGCCCAACTCCTTATTCACATTTACCTTTTGCAATCATTAACCCATATAACGGTAAATGTAGCTCACATAATGTCAGCGTACACATACAATTCTCTCTCTCTCACACACACACCAATAAACGTGTGTTAGTTACTCAAAAGAGGTCATTTGTGATGCAAAAGTCTGCATATGCAAATACACATACACAAACACACACAAACACCTAAGCCCCGGACAACATTTATATACATATGTACATATGTATGTATAGATTATTATGATTTTATTTTGTTGCGCTCTTCCTCTATGGCCATCAATTGGTAACTGTAAACAAGCTGAGACTGGCAAGAGCTGCCAGTGAATGAGCGATGCAGCTGGAGTGGATGCGTGGGAGAGACAAACAGGAGAGAAGAAGAGTGGAAATGAAACATAAACAAGAGGAAGAGACAAACAGAGAGAGAGTTGCATATGCAGTTACTGTTATGTGGGAGTCTTGCAGCCCAATAACATATTAATGTTATATGCATAGAAGGCCGAATGTTCAAAGTTCAGAAGTGCAAAAAGAATAAGTTTTGCATTTGATTGTTGCTATGACCACGAAATACATATGTACATACATATGTACACACATTGTATGTATGTATGTCAGCATCGCAATTAGATAGCGTTAAGCTCCAGTCCGAATTTAGTTAGGAAAATTTAGAACGCTTAGTGATGGTTTTCAAATTTCACACCGCTGCAGCTTAGAGTCAAATATTTTTTCAGGCGTTGCCAAACTTCATAGTTCAAAGACCTACAGTAAAACCTCACAATGTTTTAGTTTGAATAAGACAAGGTAACCACACCAACATCCATTTCCATTCCAAGCCACCTCCTAATCTCCCAATCTAAGCTCCCCGCAATGCCCGTGAGGCATATAAAAAATATACGTAAAAGGAAAAACAAAATACTGAGAAGCAAAAAAAAACTACAACAGCAGAGGCCAAAGGAGCCGGCACAGCATTAGTTAGGGTTACCCCTGGCAACAATACAACGACAGCCACAGAAGAAACGGGGGTGGAGCAGCAGTGGGCGGTTTTCGCAAACCATGAAATCGGTCAGGGGTGTTTGAAATGCAATGCATGTGGGAGGGTTGCTGTTGGTTTCCCTCTGGGGTATGCTAAGGTTGCACGCCCCCACGTGAAGCACCGCAAACAGCAAAGAGCAAACGAAAGCTGGTAGAACGAAACAAATAAAAAGGAACGATGAAAAAAATGCCGACTAGACGCCGTGCCAGACACAGCAGCATCCTTTTCAACGTCACAAAAAAAATAATAATAATACGAATAATATAAAAAACACACACACGCGAACTTGCAGCTTAAGACTGGTTTGATGTTTGCTTGTATGCATACATACATATGTATGTGTATGTCGTGCGTGTGAGTAATTTCTAGGAGAGTAAAAAAGAGTGAGAGCCTCTGAGTGTATGTGTCAGCTCAATGTGAGTGGAACGCAGAAGCGTCGTTGCGATTGACAATCCAAGAACAATAATAATATTAATGCTGCTCAGCCATCACCAAGTTGATGTTTGCTTCGAAACCAAATCAAGTTTCAGGAAGATTGATAACAAGCCGAGAACACCAACAAAAACGAGCATGCGCTCAAAAGCAATATTTGAGAAAATAAAATAAAAAAAAATTCAAAAGAGAAGTGTGAGTGAAGGTTAGAGCGAGATAGGAGAGGGAGAGCGCGCGCAGCTTGTATGTAGGCGAGAGAAGCAGAACATGAAATTCAAATTGTTGCGAGAAACATGCGTGCAAAATTACGTTTGGTGGTTGGGGCATTAAACCTGTACACGATGTAGGTGGTGACGGGGATGCGACGAAAATAGTTGACTACATATTGATTATACGAACCGGTTTCATTTCTACATGCCAGGCCATAGCCACTAACAACTTACTCACTCACACTTATACGATTGCGAATACATATACAATACAGTGCGGAGCATTGATGTCGCCCTTGTCAGAGTCGGTTGCCAATGCTCGAAAGTGTGAGCGGGATAACAATACTTTCCTGCTCAAACTCAACACACAAACATACACACACTAACACTTCTGTGCCAAATGGATGAGAGCGCAAGCATGAGTCGGTGTGAGAGTAGAGTTGCCAGCAAGCACAAAAAAAATTGCATAAATATTTAATATATTTCAATCTATATTAAAACAAAAGTGAAAAGGCATGGCATGCATATATTTGTTTATAATTGATTAAATGTTACAGGGAAGCAATACAAATTTGAAACTACAGATGGTACACGGAAAAATCATATAAAATGGATCTTATATTTATATTTCTCAAATCAGTAATGAAGTTTTTTTTTAACAGATGGCAACACTAACCACGCGTCTCATATTTTGTTTACTTCCAACTATGGGCGCCCACGCGCAAGCAAGCGAGAGAGCGAATGCACTCCACTAATTGTTGTTTCTGTTGCGGTTTTATTTTAGTTTCTTCTTCTTGTTCTTTGGCGCGGTGCTCCCGCTGCCTATAATGCCGCCTGCAGTTTCAATTTCGGCCAACAATTGTGTTGTTTGGCTTAGAACTTTTGCTTTTCAAACTGTGAAAAGTATAAGAAAAATCAACCACCAACAAATTTACAAGCACACACATTCACACGTCGCTTGCATTGCGAAATTCGCTGCGTGTGTGTGTGTGCGAATGTATGATTTATAAACACTGCATGAGCTGAGCAGATGGAGCAACAAAAAAAAAAAAAAAAAAACTCGTTTGGGAAGAGAGTTTCAAGTACAACTTCGATTATGATGAGACGTCAAACAGAAACTGCACACAGATACACACACACGACAGGCATACACCAGCACTCGCATATGCATTCAATGGGCTTTGTACACATTTGTTGTTATTAGTCGCAGTGTTGAAAAACGTCGCGCTGTTGAGCTGCGCGCCAAACACGGTACACTGCAATTAACAGCAACATTTTGAGAAAAAAACGTATAAATATTTATATTGATAAATATATATATGAAACACTATATAAAATAAAATAGATATAAAAACAAGTGTGTACACGCAGCATAGAATATTTTTATTTGTTTTGCGCTGCGAGGGTCACACTCGAAGCTAAACTGAGTCGCGGCGCGATGTAATAATAACAAATACACAAGTAAAAGCAACGCAAGAGCAAAAGAGAGAGTGCAAGAGCAAGAAATTCGTGTATGTAAGTGCGTGTGCAGAAAAAAATAACAACATTAGTAATAAGCAATAATAACACGAGTGCATTGACACACATATAGATATATGTCTGACCATGTGCATGTGTGAGTGAGTGAGTGTATGTGTGTGTGTGTAGTGTTTGCCAGCAAATGTAATATTGTATCTAATAACTTAAATAAAAAGCGAAACAAAACAAAAACAAAAAATCAAGAAACACAAAATACCTTTTTTGCATAAACTTCAATGCACGACGATCCATTATTCAAAATAAAAACAATTTGTATAATAAATTAATAGTATGCATGCGGCGACGTCAGCGGCGACGGCGCTGCAGCAGCGACGACAGCGATGTTCTGTTGTTTTTTGCTGTTACTTTGACGGCGACTGCGACTGCGAGTGCTGCTGCTGCGGCTGCTGATGCTGCTATTCTGCTGCTGCTGTTGCGACTGCTGATTGTTTTTATTGTTGTTGGCAGCATATTGCTGCTGCTATTGCGTTTGTGTAATTTTCTTTTATGTTGTTGGTGTTTTTAATTTGCTGTAGGTTACAAATATATGAGATAAACACATACACACACAAACGTATATAAATTTATATATATATATATATATATACATATACGGAGAGTACAGGCAATAAACATATATATGTACATATAAAACAGGCAAAAAAACGTAAAACTTTGTTGCAAGGCAAGCGCAACACAACAACAAGAAAACATACAAAAATGTACACAAAAAAATGTCTCGCAGAGCGTCAGCCTCAGTCGGTGTATCTGTGTGTATACATATGTGAGTGTGTGTGTATATATGTATGTATATTGGTAGTCCGTTCGGATCTGTCTGTGTGTGCGTGTGTTTGTGTGCTTGTACGCTGTCTGAGACTTCGACTGCGACTGCGACTGAGGCGTGTAAATGAACGTTTCGTGCACGAGAGCAATAATTAGTACGTACGTCCACTCGCTGCAGCGGCTGCGTCGACGTCAACGTTGACGTTGGCTCAGAACTAATGCAATGCCTGGCTTTCACAGTTTATTCATTTTTGTATTCTTTTTTATATGTATTATGCTGCATAGTCCAAGCACCTGTACACGTGATGTGCGTGGGCGCCCGTGCAGGGTATATGGGGTAAGGGGGGGGTATTGGGCTTTAACTATTGTTGTGTGTCTCAGCTTACATAAAACGCGGCGGCGGCGACAACTCTAGCAACATATTTTTTGTTAGGCGGCACACAATTTCACTGCTCGCTTTGACAGCGGCTGCGACTGCGACTGCGACGCCGGCAGCATAACTTTTCACTTTGCAGCATGTATCTTGTATCCTTTTGGAATTTGTTTAACTTGAACTTGCAACACTAAAAAAATATTGTAAAAAATCCAGTTGTTAATTTGCGGATTTAGTTAGTCTGGATGCATACATGAGCGTTTGCATATACGGCATGCATGTATGAGTGAGTATCTGTGTGTACGAAGCGCGACGCGTTGTATCTTTTAGCTCGACTAGCGGTTTGGACAGATCGGCGCGAGCGAGCAAAACAAAACACAAACCGTGCGCCTCCAAGTTGAATTTTAGACTGAAACGCGCGCAGACGGCGGCAACTCTGCCGAAACAAAATGAAGCACCACCGCGCATGTGTATTGGTGACTGTGTGTGTTAGCCTTAGCAGGGTTGGCAGGCAGCTGGGTGAGGAAAACGAGTTTAACCACACACACACACGCGCACCGATAACACGTACAGCGAAATATTTCTCTATAACAAATGCGGGTGTGTAAGTGCGATGCCAATATCGAGGCATATGCCCCAGCCATTGGGTGTGAGTGCGACTGCAATAGCGCCACGCACGACTCGCTGTTTGCAGCGTTTTGTTGTGTGCGCTTTGGGGGTGTGTGCGAACGAAAGAAAAAATGTACGTGAACAAAAAAGAAGAAAAAAAAAAAAAAACGAGGCTACACAGCTGGCGGGCATGTGTATTGTATTTGCTTTTGCTTTCGCGCCCGTTGTGGCGCATTCATCCATCCACATGTATGTATGTGTGTATGCATGTGTGTATCTAAGAGTGAGTACCTCTGTATGTGTGTGTATGTGTCGTGCTGTCATCCACCCTGCCCGCTACTTTTGGCACTGCTGCCCTTGTCGACGAGCGAGAGACCAGTTTTCTGTGTCTCTATACTCGAATGTCGTTTCTCGCTGTGGCTGTTGTTGTTGCTGATACTGCTGTTGGCTTGCTTGCTATACTTCATCTTCTTTTTTCGATATCGCATTTGCCACCACCACACCTTCGCATACGCCTATACAGACACACAAACATACATACGCACACATACTGATATACATGCATATAAATATACATACGCACATACCTGAGCGGACTAGCAAACGACAGCGGCTTTATTTTATTATTAGTTTTGCTTGTCGACCTCACCCGGGACCGTGGGTCGCATCGGGCGATGGTGGGGGGTGCCACGGTTGTAGCGCAAAGAGGCAATCGTTCGCTTTGGCTTGCTCTCTCTCTCTCTCGTTCGTACAGTGGCCTGAGCTTCATTATTATGATTTGAATTGCATTTTCTTTCCGTTTCCTTTTATGTTGCTGTTGTTGTTGCTGGTGGTGGTGCTGCTGCTGTTGCTACTAATATTGCCGAATCGACATTTTCATTTGTAATGCCATGCGCTTCGCGTGGATATGGCTGTGACTGATGACACCCGGTGATTTAGCACACACGTTTGCTGATTTTTTTTGCTGTTATGACATACATACATATGGCGTTGGCACAGTGTACAACTGCTATTAAAGTACTGTCGAATATTCTGAATACATATATTACTTTTAAGAGTTGTAACTTTCTTATATGAAGTCATATAAATAAATATCTTGCTCTTTTATTTTTTGCAATTGAGTATACTTTTGCAAAGGTGACTTGAAATAATATATATGTAATATATTGCTTATACAAACGATAAACATATGTTTTAATTAATCTGTATTAATTGATTTATGTTTGTATATTAAAGGTTTTTATTATAACAAATCAATTTAAGCATTTTATTTTATATTAAATTATTTTGAATATAAAATACTTTGATATCGAACGTGCAAATATATTCCACGCTTGCACCACTGTGCCTTGACAGAAGCACTAGCATTCCATTTTTCATTTTGTTGTTGGACTGTGAGAGCGGCCCCCATATAGCTAGCTGTTCGTCGCTGTGTGCGCCGCTTTGGGCTGTTCTTGTAGTCATGTCAAATGTTCATCGTTATATGTATGCCAGTATGTTTGTCTCTCGTTAATGTTGTTCTTGTTGTTTTTGGGCCGCGGCTGGCAATGACAGGCGACGTTGATGTGAGGCACTTTGCTGCGGAGCCGGACGATGGATGGTACGAAACATTTTTGTGTTCCGTTCGTGTGTTTTGTTGTTGTTGTCGTTGTTGTTGTGTGTTGCTGCAGCCGCCATATTATTTCTACGCTTGTTAAGTGTTTTTGCCTGCTGTTTCTCTCTTCTCTATTATGCCTTTTATTTGGTTTTTGATTGTGGCCCGTTCATGTGTATGTGTGTGTGAGTGTGTCCGCTGATCCGGCTTCATCTTTGGCTGGACTGTGTGTGTGTGTATTGGATTTTTTTTTATGATTGGACTTTTGTATTTTTTTTGTTTTCGTATATCTGTACGTAGGTTTTTCTTATTAGTTGGACAGGCTCTTCTTCTTGCGTCTTATTCAACTGTACAAAAAGCCATGCGGAGCATGCGCTCTTTTTTTTTTTTCTATATGTACGTTTCGAATTATGAACTCGATACTTGTTGGGTCTGCCTGCGGTTGTTGTTGTTGGTGCTGGTGGTGTTGCTGTCGCTGCTGGCGCTGGTTGGGGGGTCGTTGGCGTTTGGCGCCGCAGTGTGAGCGAGCGCACGAGTGTGTGTCCAATGCTTCAGCATGAGCTGCCCTGCGTGTGAGCAGTTCTGCTTGTGTGCGTGTATGTGTGCCTTTGTATATTTTATACAAAATTGACAAATGTATAATCAGCGTAAATTGCTTTGCGCGTGCTTTTTTTCACTGGCATCAATTTGGCTTGGTGCGTTCTCGCTCGCGCTCTCTCGCTCTCTCTCTCTCTGTCACTCTATCTCGCTGCTGGCTCACTTGCGCTCATTAGCGCAGCACGCTCGCTTGTGACTGTGTGTGTGCGGGTATGTGAGTCTGTCGGTGTGTTGTAATTGCCTCACTCTCACACACATACATATTAGCTCTGGCATTGTTATCGTTAGAATTTCCTTCACCATTTTTGAAAAAAAAAAACCTTGGAATTATCAACATCTGCATACACACATATGTACATACATGTACATACATACATATATACACATGCATACGACAGCCCGACTGGGGTGTCATTCGGGGCGTATAAGATTGCTTTGCGCACGTCTGTATGTGTGTGCGAGTGTGTGTTGATTCAACTATCAAAATGGGTTGCTGATTGCTGGCTTCGCTTTGTTTCTGCCTTTGCTATTGTAATGAAGTCTGAGCTCAGCGCCTAGGCGTGGTCAGCTCAGCGCCAATTCAACCGTTAGCTAGCCGAAACGTACGAAGCTCTGATTTAAAAATAAATCTACAGCAAATACACTTCATGCGTGATTGCATGTGCTTGCGCGTGTTTTTCTTAGATATGTATGTAATGTATGTATGTATGTATGTTTGTATGTTTGTATGCATGCAGCTATGCTGCTTATTAACCTCTCGTATTACAATAGCAATCGACTGATCGATTCACCCTTGTTCCTGTCCTTGCCCAGCTCCTCCTGCGTAGCGCACACACGCAGTCGCTATGCTCGCACGCATGCAGATGTGAATGCCCAGGCGCAGTGCCGTACGGTTCTTTCTTCTTCAACATTTTCGTTCGGTTTTGGCGACATTTGTATGCGCTCTTCGTTGCCATCAGTAATGGTGTTTGATGAGCTATGCACATGCTATGTTTGAAGATTGAAAAATGGAATGCAATTTTTTTATTTTTTTTATTAACGATTCGTTTGATTTGAAAATAAAAGTCATGGGAGCCAAGCATGACAGCTAATTGCATTATTCATTATTTTTAGCTCAAAATCTTAAAGCAAGACATACTTAATAATATACTAGCTTACGATATAAAAATAATTAATTTTTATTTAGTCCCTGCTAGCTAAACATGTTTGTAGTTAATCCCTCTTGAGAATTGATGCAAACCCCATCGAGGAGGTACGAACTGTACCGCTGGCTGGATGCGCTACTGACTGGGGCAAGGGTAGTTCCTTTATATCAGTCACTGTTCTCGACAAAAGGGTTGAACTTTGGCACTTACCACGCACACACACACGCACACTCACCCATAACATCATCATTGTATCGTCCCTTTTGACCCGCGCAACCCTCCTTTCATTTCA